TTTCAGAGGCAGAGCCAGGAGGATCACCATGAGTCCAAGGTCAGCCTGGGCTACATAGCAAGACATTGGCTTAACATACACACACATACACAAACACACACACACACACACACACACACACACACACTGACGTTGATATACAAGAAATAAATGTAACTCCCAACCTGCTAGATGTCATGTGTACTGAGTTTGTACTCCCCAAAATCGAAGGATGTCTTCTAAGGAACATTTGAGCCTAAATGTATGAAATATTTATTGAATGAGATAGCTCCTGAGGGACAGGAAAGGACACGAAAAATGGGTTGCCATGGACTCTATTTTAGAGAGTAAATTTTATAGAGCAAAATCATTAGGTGATACAAGGAGGGAAAAAACTCTGATAAACCAGTAAGATCACAAGTTTAGCCACCTAAGCAATACTGATCCAGTGGGGAAGCAGGTCACATAGCAAGTATACATGGAAAGAATAAGGACCTTTTTAGATAGAGACAAACCAGATGGTTTCAGCCACCCACAGGGTGACTGATGTTAATTTATTGTTTATCTCTTGGAGAGCCAGCTAGGCTGGTCATTTTATCTTGAAACCTGGCCTAAAACAAATGTGCCTGTAGCCAGAGTACTGCATGTGTTCTCATCTGCACTGACTCCCTCCAGGGCCCAGCCCTCTCTCACTGTGTATAGTATTTTTCCAATTCAGCTGTCTATAATTATGGTTGTTGGACATATGGTATGAAACCAGTGAAAATAAGCCCTATTTTACATCTTTTTCAGAATGCTCACTGGTTTTTGGTTCAGACTGACATGGGGAAAAGGCTAAATTGCTCCCCAAATCAAAAAACACTACCCTTCACACAGGTATAAAAGTGTCTATATGACCTGCCATGCCATGCTTACTTGTAGAAATTAAAACATATTACTTGTGACAGCTAACATCCTTAAGGCATGTTATGCTCATCTAGACCCTTAAGGAAAAAAAAAAATGCAAACTGTGATACAGCTGCTACAAAATAATTGCTTTGAAGCTGGGGAGACAGCTCGGTGGTCTAAGCATCTGCCTGGCAAACCCAAGGACCCAGGTTCAATCCCCAGTACCCTGTATCAAATATGAATAAATAAATAAATAAATAATAATAATAATAATAATAAGCACCTTTGGCAGGCTCAAACAAAACAAACCAGCAGCCTAAGGACTCTTGTTTCTCTTAACCTGAACGCCACCTTGTGATGAAAAGCTAAGCAGCACTTAGAGGAGAAAAAAAATGCCCTCTGCAAAGCTTCAGAAGGTAGGAGGGCCCAGGGACAAAGCTCAGCATTTCCTTGGGTTAATTCCCAAACACACGGATAGTTAGGGCAAGTTTCCCGTCACACAGCCGGCAAGTGGCAGAGCTACACTAAGGGAGCAGTAAGCCAGCTTAAACATAATCCATACCCCCACAAGAGCCCTAACCAGAAGGGCAACAATGCCATGGAAATATTATTCCCTTACAATCCGCTCATTCCCATTTTTACTTCCAATCCATAGGCAAGTTACTGACCTCTAGGGATCTAAGTTTCTGCCTGTAAATTATGAGAATGGCAGGAGAGAAACTGCAAGACCTACAGAGGGATGATTAAATTGGCAATATTGAAAGAAGGAAGAAACTGAGACAGAAGGATCCAGAGCTCCTTGAGAGACATATTTCTTCCACAGCTACCCAAACACCTTGGAGCCAGTTCACATTAGACACCCCATGGCTGCACCAGGAGACATTTGCTTGGGTTGCAGGGGGCCTTAGATGTGGAACTACCCCAGACTGCCCCCTGCAGCTCTCTGGATGACTCTGCATCTCTGTGACCCATGTTTTGTCTCTGTTAGGTCCTTAAGGGGCCCCTCCTCTACCTACAACCAAATAGGAAGTCAGGTATGGTGCATGCATAAGACTGACTTTTTTCCCTATATAAGCAGCTTTCTAAAGCCTTTAGCAGGTCAGTTCACACAGTAACGGTTTATATCTAGATATCCCCCCAAAGTTTCATGCAGTTTTAAGTGACTGGGCTTCTGCAGAAGTAGCTAGATCTAGAACGTGTGATGCTGGGATTAAGGGTACGTGATTATTAAACAGTCTACTCATTAGCTTGGCACTGGCCCTAGCCCAGTAATCTAGATAAAATATAAAAGGAGCAGACAGAAGCTGGTGTCTCTTGGTAGTTGCTACTTCACTGCTGGCTACCTTCTGCCTGCCCTGCTTGGCCCACAGGCTTTATCCTATGATGCGACTCTGCCAGTTATGAAATGAGACCTCTGAAAACTGTGAACCAAACAATTCTTGAGTGTTGGGCATTTTGTCTCACGGAGAAAAGGAAGACACCCCACTGTGCAGCCACTAATTCTTAATAAAACCTCTTCTGGATGGCATGTTTTGTCTTTTTGGGATTTTATTTGAAGTACAGGACACTGAGCTGGTACACTAAGCTGTCAACACAGAAGCTGAGTGCATAGAAGAACAAGGATGCCAAAAGCCACCAGTACTCAGGGCTGCCAATACCAAAGATGGCTAGCACCAGATAACAGTAAGGAGTAAGGGAAAACTGCTGGGAGTTGCCATTTCTAGTGGCCAGAATAGAGCTCTAGAGGCCTATTGGCAGCTTCTGGCTCTCAGTGGCAAAGAAACTGCCAACACTAAGAGCTTATAATCACAGCAATCAAAGCTTAAGATTGTCAACATCAAAACAGCTACTTTTTGCCAATTCAAGATTTCTATATAAATTGAGCAAAAGTACCCTCAGCCTACTGGTAACATCTTGGAAGCCTAGAGGGACCTGCGCCATGATGGCCCTTAAGAGGAAGGCAGGCAACTGTAATGGTTATCAGCAATAACGTGGGCGAAGAACCAGCCCATGTCTGATTTCCATCTTATGTGTGGCTAAAGACCCACACTAGCAGGTTACAAAATGATGCACGGTACCTTAATAGGGAGGAAGAAGCAGTTTGTTAAAGGAAAAAAAAGTTACTAGGAGCCTCTTAGCTATTCAGATTGTGCATCTGCAAGTTCAGCTACCCAATACTACTTGTAAGTCCAGAATTAATACTACAGGGAACTTTCTGATCATTTGAGAAAATGTACAGAGTAATTTCAGCCACCTAACAGGTGAGGTGCACACAAGGCAAGTCTCAGCCTTGGTTCAGCCCTCATACTGTCAACAAGTATCCTTTTCAGTCCAATGAGTACATTTTTTTCACTTTTATTCTATTGGTGATTGGCAATTTCAGTTGAAAATGGCCTCCAATGGCCTCCAAGCCCTACTGAAGTCCTATCCCTAAACACAAGGTTATGGTATGCTTGAAGGAGAAATCTATCCCAGAAGTTTTCCTGCACATGAGTTACAGTGCTATTAGACACAAGATCAATGCTAATGACTCAATAATGTCCTCAAGCATAAATACACATAAAGCAAGGTCATACATTGACCAGTTTAGGTCAACAATGAGTCTACTACAGGCTCTCGGGAGGTTAACGTCATCTTTCCCCAAGAGACAATGCTTCAGTATGCTCTAATTTAATGGTCACTATTTTACTGAACCAACTGGCTGAGAATAACAGGCCCTGCTGTCTGGAAAGCTTTCAGGAGGAAACGGAAGAAATAAAAGACAAAAATATTTGGGGCTCAGTAGCAATCAAATTCAGCAGATAGCTGAAGTGATGGACATGTTAATTAGGTTAATCACGTCACATTGTAAAGAGCATAACTCTGCTTTTTGGCCCATAGATACATAATTTGTCAACATAATAATTAAAAAACAAATTTTCAAAACAATAAAATTCAGGGGATAAGAGAATAAGTGAAGACTCTTTAAACAACCAATTAGCACACAAAAAAATTGTTTTAATAAAATGGAAAGGTAAGATTATTTCTTCAGTCTAACGCTCTCTTAACTGAGCTATTTCGGCAGCCAATGAGGTAAGATTATTTCTAAGAAAATGAGGACAGGCTGCAAAAACTTGCATCACAATCCCCTCCAGGTGAAAACTGACTATATGATCAAATAGACATGTTCTAACTTTCTTCAGTGATGCTTCAAGCCAGTGGAGGAAAAGTGACTGACAGTAATTTCTGGGCTAGAGGAACAGCTCAGTGGAAGTGTGTGCTTAGCAAGTGTAAGGCCCTGAGTTCAGTCCCCAGCACCAAATAATAATTCCTACTTCAAACAGCTTCTATTTCAATTTCTAATCTTTCATAAATGATAAAATGAAGAAACTACTATAAAAAAATTGCACATGGTTGAATAACTTTTAACGAAATGTAACTAATTTGTTAGTAGAATAAAATTAGCCTCAGATGTTCTCTCCAGGGCTTAACAGGTTGTCACTTGAGGTTAAAATCCCTAAAAGTAGCCCCAAACTTCCAAAAACTCTAAGCAGAATCAAAATGAGTGATGACAGGAGAGTGTATGGAAGGAACGAATGTATACCATTGGCAGAGATTCATATGAAGTAAATAAATTTATAAAAAAGCAAGGAATAAATGCTCCTGAGCTGACATTATGGAAATACTTCTTCCAACAGGGAAAAATGTACAGAACATGAGTTCAAGGCATCCAAATCAAACAGGTGGGGAACTTGCATCACCATCACCCTTTTGGGGCACCTGACATGGTTTGGTATCATTCATCTTACAGCCTTCAAAACTCATTATGTTAATGCATGCCAATGTCATTACTCATGGAAAAAAACAGAAAAGTCCAGCCTGTTTTTCATCATTGGCAATAGCACAAGGAATATAATAAGGATTTTAAGAAACAAAAATAAACAGAATAGGCTGGTATTATTGACCACACCTAAAAGATAATCATTCTGACTGGCAAGATAGCTAAGCAGTCTAAAGCACCTGCTTAGGCAAGCTTAGGGACCACCGTTCGATCCCTGGCACCACATGCCACACCAGCCCTACCCCCAGGGTGGGCTAAGCCAGCCACATTTAAAAAAAAAAAAAAAAAAGACATAATTCAGTAGCCACAGAACTTGTTTTAACAGCAAGATCTTTATTAAGGGAGTCACATGTAATTATGAATTCTACCAACTCACAGTATCTCTAAGAGTAGATACCAACATTCATTTAAATTAAAAGTAAACTGAGAAAATTAATTGATTTGCTTACAATATGAAAATTCATGTCAGAGTCAAGAATAAAAAAAAATCATCACTTTCAGTTGGTCTTCAGGAATACCCTTTTTTTAGGAATATCCTTCATAAACCTTCACATTGGCATTTTAAAGTCTAAGTATATTACTGTATTTCTCCTCTTAAGAATGAACTGCTTGTTCAATGAACTTGAATAATTAAAAAGTGAAGAATAAATCAACTTTATGGTTCATTTTTCCAAACAATATTAGAATGTGTGACAAACAATGTTTATTGCAAAAGATTCTAAGAGAGCAAACAAGTACTTTTAAAATCTGCTGGAAACAAGACACAGCTCACTAGCATTTTGAGGAAAAAAACAAGTAACAAAAAAGATGGTATCTAGACAAAGGCACAGCTTTCCGCAACTGCTTCATACTCTGTGCACAGTCAGTAAGTCCTCTCAGAAGTTACGCAGAGTAAGGCTTGCATTAGAATTTGCATATACTACTATTGATATTATCCCACTTTAGGACAAAAGGCTCTATAAAATCCCTCTGAGGAAAAAAGTGCAACACAAAATCTTTTTAACAAAGGAAAGCAAAAGTATTGATAAGGGTCCATAGAATACTTACAGTACAAATACAGTATTGCAGGTAGGTAAAGAGCTTTTGGATTGGAGTGTGAAATTTCAGTTAAAGATGCATTTTGCAGCAACTATTCACTCAAAGCTTTGGAGCTACAGCAAAGAGAGACTTGCAGTCAGTAACTAAACAGTTGAAATGATTGTTTTACTAGGTCATAATAATTCCCTTCAGGGAGAAGTACTTTAAACTATTCCACTTTCTGTTACATGGTTCATGCTTTTAAAATGCAGTAGTCCTAGACTTGCTTGCTACCCAACTTTTGTGTACTGACATACAGCAGCAAGCATGTCAAAAGAGAACCCCACAGATCACTGCAGCTGCTTTTATGGTAGCTCACTGAACAGACTTGCAGTCTTTATACATTAACCATAAAAACCAAGTTTATCTGATCATGTATTATCCCTTTTCAAATAAAATCATAGCAGAGTAAATTATTTAAAAGAGGCTTTCCAACTAATTCTGTGGATATTTTTAAAAATCTTCATATAAAACTCCACTTCTTTTAATACAGAAGAACAAACTCTTTGCTTTAAAACATCTCATTTTTAAGCCAAAATAAATTACCACTTACAGAAATACCTTTTTAAATGGCTTGGTACTTATTCCAGATATGTAGAGATACATTTTTTGTACATCTTCAGAAATTAGAAACACTGAGACAGTATTTACCTTTAAAATGATGGAACAGATCAAGCTCTAAGTGTCAGGGATAAAAAACTGATACTCAGCATCCAATCTGTATAGTCTTATATTATGTACACATTAACAGTCTAGTCAATGAAAAAATGACAGAAATTTCATAAACCTATTTCAGAACTCAGGGCATAGAAATGTAAAGAAACAAAAACATTCAATGTACAATTACTCCATTTGGCAATGTGTAAATTATATCAAGAGATAAAAACATCTAGAAATAGAATGTAACAAAAGGAAAATGTGATTCAAGAAGTGATCTTGGGGCTGGGGATTATAGCTCAATGGCACAGCGCCTGCTAGCAAGCATGAGGTCGTGGTTCAATTCCCCAAAAAGAAGTGATCTCAGGTCCAAAGCTCTTCAGTTCTTCCAAATTTGTAGATCAGAGTGCTAGAAAGATAGGAGGGAAAACATGAAAAAGTAACACAATTCACTTCCTAAATATGCTTTGATAGGTTCCTTTCTGATACTGTAGTATCATTTCTAAAATTAAATGAAAGGTCATGGTGGTACTGTCTGAATTGCTTGTTTTGTAATGCTGTTTAGCTAGAATGGCTGAGCTTAATTAAATATTCCTACTCAAAACCTAGATACTTTAGAAAACTTGTAAAGGAAAGAAACATTTTTCATGGGGGCAAAGCATTAAGGTCATTTTCTCTCTCAAAACCTACTGTATCTGGACTACAATTACTGAAACATCCTAAAATAGACCTGGCTGTAGCTCTTCATTCCTTTAGTACTGTGTGGCAAATGTGGGCTATAGGGAGAAACCCCTAGCCAAATGCTCAGATGTAATGCAGGCAAAATGAAGCACTCCTGCTCCTAGGAGCTCAGAGGCTGGTGAGGGAGACAATCAAATACATCTAAAAACCAACTGAAAAAAAAAGTGCTATAAGGACTGAAAAATAAGGATCTGACCTAGTTAGAATTCATGACAGGCTTTTCTGAGGAAGTAGTAACTGAGCAGGGATCAGAAAGAAAAGTGGGAATTATCTCAGCAAAGGAAAGGTCGGGGAAACAGGATCAGAAGGCGATTTGTGGGCATGCTGTTTTGGATTTGAAATGTCAACAACCCAAGAAGGGTTGTGAAGTAGGAATCTGGATATGGGAATTAGACTTGGAAACACATCTGTGACTCATTAGCACTTAAGCAATAACTGAAGCACTAAGTATAAATGTACTAAGGAAAAAGAGCCATCCTAGCTAAACAGCATTACAATATAAGCAATTCAGACAGCATCACCATGACCTTTCATTTAATTTTAAAAATGATACAAAGGAACCTAAATTTGCAGACCAAAATTAGAGAAAAAGGAGGGCCGCAAGGAAAGCCAACATTTTGGCCCTAGCCTTCCAAGGTCAATTAAGACTCAGTACATATGAGATCTTGTATTGTAA